ACAAGCATAAATGTGGGCCCTCTCCGTTGTCGCCAGGTGTATAATGACGTTCCTAGAATGCCTAACGTTCACGCAAATATACACACCTTGGGCGTCTTAAGCTCGATGGTCTTGGCATCCTTCTTGCTGGGCTTTTGCTGCTTGGATTTGACCTCGGTCATTCTTGCTGGTCGAATGCCCGGTGTGGGATGTAGGTCTGTCAACTCAATAATGGAATGGGGACGGTCACCAGAAAAATATAGAACGCGAGTGGGCCTTCAGAGTATCAGCGTTGACATTTTTTGGTGGCATCTATAAAAAACAGCCCTCGCAGCTCAGGTCATTAAATCAGCCGCTGTTTTTTTTTTGTAACAGGATCAGCATCTAGAGGATCCCTAGCAAGCAATCTACCTAATTGCCTGGTGGTGAGCTGGTAACGGAAACAATATTTACTAGCGAGGTTTTCGGCAATAACGGCCAATGAATATAGTGTGTATTTTGTCGTTCTGAGGAGCAAAGCTATTCTCTCGTTATGAACAGCTGCTCTCAGCGTCCCGAGATTAGGTCGAGGTCATAGCAGCCAGGGCAGCTCCTCGCGACAAAAATAACAAAATGGAAGTGTCTAGCCCACAAAAAATGTGGGCAAAAATTGGAGGACCTGGGTATCGATCCCAGTGCCTCTCGCATGCTAAGCGAGCGCTCTACCATTTGAGCTAGACCCCCTTCACAACCCTGATTGTTTTTAAAATTAAAAGTATATATACCACTGATTAATTTTTGGTACTTGGCATTATCAAGCGGTGCGGCCTTTATCTGCGATGAGGTCCATTAGTCCTTATTATATAATGTTTGGGATTTATTTCCACTCTTATTGGCGGTATCCACGCCTGGCCACTGGCCTAGAGGCGAAGCTCCCCCCATGAATAGAGAGGCGGGCACGCCCTAGCCAGCCTTGAAAAAGCAACACCCCTCTCCCCCTGATCCGAGCGAATATAGGCATGCATTAACATCACACCCGCTATCTTCTTCACACTTGCGCTCGTGCACTCGTGCTCTGTAACTCATTTATGTCCATGGGCCGCATACTAGAGGCGTTGCTTGATATTCTCTCCTTTTCTTCAATAAATGACCATATACCAGGCTTCTGACATGCTTTTAGCTTTATTTTACTGGTCCTGATATATGCATACGCCGCAGTGAATACATCCTACTAATAAAGCACTAGCCTTCCAATGCAACCAGCAGGGTGTCATTAAAGACATAATATTCATACCAGTTCTGCAGAATTTGAAAGGCTTGTAAAAGTTGACGCCCAACAAAATGGCCCAGCAAAATCGAGTGGCGCTAGACTGATCATTACTAAGAAGGCATACATAGATACTGCTGCTGGTGTCGAATGGTGCTCCACACCAGGAAATACTATCGCAATAACAAATGGGGCCATCAATACCAATATCAAAACTACCGCTATAGGATCTACTACAACAAGATGGTCATCCAAATAGAGAAGCCGGGCCAACTGAATGCATATACTGGACGACCGCTATTTAGCAATGAGAATCAGCGATATATTAATAGTCGGAATAAGACTATAATTTAACTGCACGTTGAAAATGGATAGTTATAGAGTGCGTACATGGGAATTGCAACAAGTATCAATAACGATGCCTCTACATATCCAGCGGGAAAGGCACCTACTCGAACACGGAATATGACGGATATGAGTAGACAGATAGATGCCAATATAGGACAGACAAGCGAATGCGTGCGCGCCTGCAAGGGAGAGAGAGATGTGAAGGGAGGTATAGAAGACAAGAACAAATGCATTAGTAGAGGTACAACGATCACAGAAAATCTGGCACACCTCGCACTATTTAAACGACGTCGAAGCGGCCGACCCGGTATGGGGTGATGTCGATGCATTTAGCTTGGCCAAACAGGATAAGCTCAGCCATGGCTTTCCCAGTGCCTGGAGCATTGAGAATACCCCAGCAGCTATGCCCGGTAGCCAGGTAGAAGCCGGGAGCACCCGGAACCTCGCCAATGCACGGGATACCCGTCTTGCTGATGGGGAGGTAGCAGGCCTGCTCGACGAGGACCTCAGCACCCTTGATATCGTCAGACATTTGGAAAACGATGTTGAGGA